ATCGAGTAAAAATTTGCTTGAAAACAGAATATTTTCATATTTCGTGTAAGTAACAATTCTTCTGTATCTGAAAATCTTCTGATGGGAAGAAATGCGGAAAAAATATATAATGACATATTTTTATATTATTATCTATTTCAGAGATTTTTTACAACTTTTTTTTAAATTTAAAAGAAGTTTTATTTTAACATTAATGTGTTTGTTTTAGCAACATTACACTAAACTACCTGATAAAAATGCCCACTTAGCTGTGCATAAAAATTTGGAACGATTTATTTCTTTATACATCTCGCAATGTTGATATATTAAACACAGAAATTAAACAATTAAATTATTCCAGTTTCATATGCAGTTTCATATTTTTACATAAAAAAACATTTCTATAGAAAGCAGATATTTCTACAGAAATGTTTCTATAGAAGATCGGGAATAACATTTCCAGATCTGGAATAAGCTTCTTCTAAACGTCAAGTACGTTTGGCCATTAATTACCATGTTTAAACTTCAGTAATTGCTAATAAACATTATAGAAACTTCAAAACAACTTCAGAAGCAAGATCAATAAGAGATCCCTTCTTATTTAGAAGAGTTTGATTTTAACCGCTAGAAAGTATCAATAGACTTTCGCATGTAACAAAAAATATTTTTGTTATCATTTTTTGTCAATCCGTCTCTGTGCTGGGACGCAAAGCTCGAACCTCGCAGGTCGACGGACGGAACTCAACTGAAACGATCTGCAATCTACCGATATTCGACAGATTGTAAAAACTGGCAGAAAATATTTGGAAGAGTAAAACTACTCTTTCCCTTCTACTATGATAATAGCACCACAGATTATAAACCTTGTTTTTTCTTTATCGTTTTTTGTGGTTCCAATTTTCGGAATCGGGCACTAGTTTCCGCACATAGCACGCCCACTTATGGCCTCTAAAATTGTGCACAGCGCCTGACCGGCGCAGTTATTAGAGAGATATCGGAAAACCGAATAGCGTCATGCAGTATTTACGCGTACCTTATCATGGTTACGATATGCGCGAGTCAATTTTTAATGCAACACCCGCTAAATTTTATTTATTTGAATTACTATTTTAGTTTTATTAGGTAATTTGATATTTAAGTAACTGAGATTAGTTTTAGTTAAATAAATATGGCCCAAAATATGGATTCCACCTCTTCCAATATTAAAGAACCTATAAAGTGGCTTAGGTTTACAGCAGATGACGACTTAGCCCTTCTAAGAGAATTTGTTGCTTGTTGCCCTAAACCCACTGGCAGACGTTGAACAATAAAGCACTGGAAACAAGCACTTTAGCCCTTCAGTTTTAAAATACCTAGTAAACAAAACAATTTCCAAGTTTTAAATTCAAACTTAGGTTAAGTTTAAATAGCGGACGCGACGCGAACAGAATTCTTTCCGATCCGATAACTATAAATGAAGAGAGTTAATACCACCTCAAGTAAAGGAAATAACACCTGGCCTTATTTAGATATCTCTCTGTTATGCTGTTTATTGTTATTTTACGCGAGTTTATTTTCGCGCACAGGAAATTTTATTCGTTTGCACATCGTCATAAAAAACAATTTTCGTACCACGAATTAGGGATAAGATTTTTATCTGTATACATATAGTATACCTAATCTGTGATAGCACACATAGAAAAATAATCAGCGTGGAATATACCGTATGATTGAATAAAACCAGCGTCAGCGATGGCTATGAAATGAAGATCGCTGTCATTTTAAATGTAAAATTATATGGGAAATGTCATCGATCGTCATTCCAAGCCAACTGGACGCGGTTTTTTTTTGGATCCTAAGGTATTTTATAACACGTACAAGGTCAGGCAAAGGTGCGTCGGGCATCTGTAGCTCCTAGAATAAAAACTTCACAACCAAACCAAACCGAAAGTATGTACTAGGTGCATTTCAAGAAAATATTTTGACTTTTATACGGTGGCTCAAAAAAGTGTGAGTGGATCGAGATAATTTTTTTTAAATAGGAGACTCTGTATATTATTGCGTTTTTAACTTCCTTTATCCTGTACAGAGTGTCCCATTTTCGTATTTTACAGGGTTTCTCCTTTATAAGAATCACTGTGCTACGTTCTTATGAACTAAATATGCTACAGACACAGATTTGTCCTACACACAGATTTGTCCACTTAATTTCTGAAATACCGGGAGAATTTTAAAATATTGCATTTTTCGACCCCCTCCGTATCTTGGATATCTTATAAATTTTCAAAAAGTTTTTGGCTGGGAGCTGTAATTCTCGAAATATGAGTTAAACTTATGCTGTAATTTGTGTGTTTTAATGGGACACCCTGTCTTTTTAGGTTTCTAAAAATATAATATACTTTATACTTATTTTTATAAACAAGATAAAAAGTGCATGTTTTTTTTTCGGTTTATAAGTTAATCACATAAATCAACCTATTGTTACGGATTCCGTGGGTCCACTAATTTAAACTCACGATAAAATACTTAACGAATTTATTATCTCACTTTATACACACAATAACTAACTATTTATAAAATTCCTTCACCAAATTGTCCGATTCGTAATAATTTAAAGCGCGGTATATTCAAACTTCAAAAAACTATCCCAACTGCCGGTTACGCCGGCTTATGTACTCTACTTGACTGCTTCTGGAAACTTCTACAATTCTCGGAGAGCGTTCTACTTCATACTGGACAATTCTATTGTCTAATTCGCTTACTTGTCGACTTGATTAAGAGATGGCGCCCAAAAATTTCTTTTACTTTCTGGCGGATGCGCCATTTTTCTTGACACGTTGCGGTTGTGTAGGCAACCAGTAAATTGTTTTTATTTTATTTTTGCAGATCCATCTAGTGCTAAGTAAATGCAAGACTAAGACCAAGAATCTCATGGTCTTGGTCTTTTAATTAATAAGCAGTCTTGGTATTGGTCTTGGTTTTGCAAGGTACAGTCTTGGTCTTGCTGCAAGACTCTTGCAAGTCTTACATTTTTAATAGATTTTTACTAGAAGCACACTGAAAAAAAAGATCTCTCAGTCGAAATGAATATGACTTTGACCCAAAAGATTGGCGCTTTTGAATAGGGCCAAGAACGACGTTTCTTTGCCCAAAGCATTAACTATCTTGTCATAAGCTTTAAAAAATTACTTTAGAGAATAGAAGAATCTATCTATCCAACGTATTTCACTCTTGACCCAAAATGAATATGCAAAGAAGTTCTTGCTACAAGAACAATAGTCTCTTTGATTCATGCAAAAATTGTAGATTGAAAAGGGACATTTCTTGATTAAAGAGACACTTTTCTGAAACCAATAGCGAATAGTATTGACTCAACTAAAATTTATTTTGATCTAAGAGAAGTCAATACATCCATATACAGGCATATTACGAGGTATATTATTTTCTGATAAATTTAGGTTTTCCTGGTCTGTAGTAAGTAAAGGGATATTATTTTCCTGGATAGTAGTTATTTCTGCTTCTTCACTCCTTGGTATGATTTGTGGTGGTTCATCACTCTACAAATTACAAAAAAATGTTACATCACGATTAATCAAAGTAAAACAAATAAATTATTAGCTTTGGTCACATTTTGAATTTTTTAATACGACGAAAAGAAATTTTTAGAAAATCGATAACTATATTTTTATTCTATCTATAGTCACGCATGCATTATCTAAACAGGTGCATTAGGTAAATGTCTCTTACCTTCAAATATAGCAGATAAGTGCTCTAATTTCCATTTTTTCAAAAACTCCTTTAAAGAATCCATATATCCTAAAATTTGTCCATAAAAAATGACAAATGCATGTTAATAACGATCACTAATTAATTTGTTATACGATATGTGTTTAATAAGCAAATTATGCAAAATTCCAAGCAACAAAACCTGTGCGTACTATGATGTGCGACCTATGAAATGCGACGTACGACTGATCGGACTGCCGACTGATTGTATAATATACCGTCCTTCGTCATCGTCTTTGAGTGTCGTTATTATTTTTCATCAAAAGAGTATTTAGCTATTGGAAAAATGGCCATGTTTCTTGAATGAAGTACTTCCTAGCGTATTTTTCTTATTATCTTAAAACAAAGTAATTTGCACTTGGTTGAATGAAAATAGATTAGAATTAAGAAATTAAAAGAGAAATTTTCGAATTTTACAAGAGAACCAGTTTTCTTGAGTTAAGAGAGTTTTTCTTCAGGCAAAATATTTTCTTTTACGCTAAAATAAACTCTCTTTCCACTAAATTTTTTTTTTTCAAGAATGATGACGACTTTAGTTCAAGTCTATCTTTTTTATCAGTGCACTTTCTATATAGAAAATCTTTAAATAAATAGTATTTTAAATAATTTAAAGCAAATGAAACTTTAATGAAACAATATTTGTCTGATAAAAGTTCTTGTTTTTCAATATATTATATTGAATTAACATTTCTTCCTTTAAAATTTTCTGGATCGGGAGAACACTACTTATATGTATATAAGAATCGCTTTTAAAACGTCCTTCGACGATGTGCGATGCCTAGTCGCCATTCATTCCGTTCATTCCAGTCTCCGTCACGCAGGTCCCTTGAGCTCATCGCCTTCTTGACACCCTCCATCCAGTTTGTCCTTGGTCTTCCCGGTTTCCTTCTCTTTTGTGGAAGCCAGTTTAGTACCTTCTGAGGCAGTCGCGTGTTGTCCATCCTTCTCACATACCACTTCAGTTGGGAACGGAAAACGAACAATGAATTTCGGAACATGGAACAGTCAAGGTTGCAGTGGAGAACACTATTTGTAATAAATTAAAACAATAATTTTGAACATATAAGTAATTTCTTATTACATAAACGTAACAAAATGCGAGACCGCAACAACTTGCAGATTTGGTCTTGCACTGGAGCTTGAGGCGGTCTTGCACTGGTTGGTCTTTGTTTTGATCTTGCAGATCAAACAATAGTCTGGTCATTACTAGATCCATCATTATATCATAATAAACTCATGCATTTACTTTTTTACAGGGGTTTACCCAGGCTTCGAGACCTCTCAATCCAACACACACCACTGAAAACCGTCTCGCCCTTCGCATTCGCCGGCCTCCAAAACATCACCAGCATTTACCTCAGCTACAACAAAATCAAAACGGTAGAAGGCTACGCTTTTGCCGGCACCACCAACCTCAAATTACTAGTCCTAACCCATAACCCTCTAACTGTTTTAGAATCGAACGCCTTCACCGGCATTACCGAAGTCGACCGGATCGTCCTACCTTCAGGCATCAAAGTCCTCGAACCGGACTGCTTCAACGGCCTGGATACGCTAGGACACATGCAACTAGCCTTTATGGACCTCCGCAGCTTGAAACGAGGCATTTTCCGTGGCCTTACCAACGTCAAATACCTGTCAATTCAAGAATCCGACTTGGGAAACATCGACGGCGATGCCTTCGACGATATGACCTACATCAAATCGCTTAACTTTTTGAACAACAAAATCGACTCGATCCAGTGGTTGAACTGGACCTGGGAACAGCACATTGGGCACGTTAGATTCCAGGGAAACCACATCCTGGAAATTCCTAGTCCAGATTCACTTTTAGTTGAAGTGGAAAGACTGACTGTGATATCTAATCATTTCCCTTGCGACTGTCATATTCACTCTTTGCTAGGCGGTCCTCTGGCGAACGGTAGTATATTAAATTTCATTTCGAAAAATTACTGTATATCGCCTTTGGAGGTGAACGGTATGTATATGAACAATATTGATATAGAATCGATAGGACGTTGTGAAGAAGTAACGAAAGAAAACCTAGAAGCCGCTCCCGATTCTAGGAACGTAGCGGGACGTTTAGACAATTTGTGCAATTACTTAAATCTGCTGTTATATATTCTAAAGTTGCTAAAGATAACGTAGGCTTCGCCCTCTTGTTGTTGTGTACATAAGAACCAAAGTATAGCGTTTACGAAATTGTGATATTTTTTATTATTAATTATATATAGATTATAATCTGTTATAAAGACACAAATTAGGAAATTGAATTCGATTCGAAAATGATTTTGTAAAATAAGTAAAAAGAATATTGGTATGGTTTGTGATATAAATTGTAAATGTATATAGAGTAAGTGTGTTATAAAACGTTTTTTATTTTCGATTATATAGTTGCTAAGTGTTAATATTGATGAGGCATTTGTTAAATTATCTTGTTGAATACATTTATTAATAGCTGGATAACTAAACGAAAGAATTTAGAAAGAAAATACAAGAAAAAAATGATTATATTAGTTGTATACAGAGAAGACCAGGCTACTAGTAACATAGCACGTTGCCGGACGAACTTACGTTTACCCGATTTGCGTTCGTACTAGAGATTCACTGCCAGCTAGTCGGCTGGTCAGGCAGTACGCAGTTGCAGTTGTGCTTAGACGGGTCGGTGGTGACAATAGGAATACGACGCGAGCAGTGCCGAGTATTTATTATTTTCATTTTAAGTGTTTACCTTCACTTAGGTAACATTTAAAATAAAAATACTTAAATATTTATTATTTGAGTGTGTTTACAAGCCAAAATTAAAAATAAATAAATTCTCTAAACCCGAACAAAACTAAAATATTACTCTAAATAAAAAAAGTTATAACAAGTGTTCAAAAAGACCACCTTCTTGTGCTAGACAGAAGCCTAGGCGGTCGTAAAATCCCCGTCTGACATTGGCTAACATATTAGGGCTAATCATTTGGAAAGCCTCTCATATTTTTACTTGAAGCTCATCCAGATTATTAGCCCTATTACGACCATACTCTTTGGATTTTACATAACCCTACAAAAAGAAATCATTGGGAGAAAGATCTGGTGATCTAGCTGGCCACAAAATAGTTCCATGTCCACTAATTAAACGGTTGGGAAAAGTATTGTTCAAATATTCTTGAACAATACGGGCATTGTGGGCAGGGCAACCATCTTGTTGAATCTTTCTCCTAATAACTCACGAATTCTAGGGACAATCTGCTGCTGTAACAAGTCCAAATACTTTGCAACAGTTACCTAATACCCTTTATAAAAAACGGACCAATCATATGCTCCCCTACAAAACCACCCCAAACACTTGCTTGAACTCCTGTTCTTCATTAATGTTTTTGTGGGGACACGCACCCATGTATTTCAAAATTATTAATAACTCTTGATATAGTAAAGATGGAATTGGCCTGTTTACAAGTTTGTGGAAAAATTGTTTGTATATCCCGATAAGACCTATTTTGGAAATACCATTTTACAATTTACACTTTGAATTTTCTCATGAACTTCGTAAACATCCGTTATTTTACTTAAAAAATAAATTTTACACGAGAGCTGTAGCGAGAATCTATGTATTCGTTTTGGCTATTAAAACACGAATAAATACAAATTCTGTAACATTCTTATCACATATCTACCTATTTTTATTTTATCGCATTTTTTTGCCTGCTTTTTATCCGGCGGACGGGTATAGGCTAATTCGTCCGGTTCTGCCTATGTTACTACTACGGTGGTCTGGTCTATATAATCTGTCCCACGATAGTATACCGTGTGGTGCATCGGAACACGGGGCGCATAGGAAATTCCATGTAAATTTTGAAAATGTCAAATATTATCTCCCCAGATAAGTTTATGCAAAACTTGTATGAGTCTTTTTTGAAGTACATGTACATTTGTCTAGAATTTCGTTTTATTTGGAATCGGAATTTAAAAGTTAGTTGCAATAATCTACCTTCAACAACAAAATGTGACATCGAACTTGACAATGACAGACTCATATTTTTGCTGGTATTTTAATTGTAGCTTTCTCTGGGCCGTATTATAAATATTTAGTAATTTGAACGTAGATTTTTGCAGATAAGATTTAAGATTTAAACACCAACTTTTTTCTAGAATTTAAAACGAAATTTTAGACAAAAGTACAACTTTAACGCCTCTTCAAAAAAGTCTAAAACAACTTTTGCATAAAATCATCTAGAGATATAATATTTAAAAATTTCAAAATTTACATGAGATTTCCTATGTTCCGTGTTCCTATGCATCACACGGTATATTATAGTGACATTTACCGTCTGTCAATAAAATTCATACGTAAATGATTTTTTCGTCAATGCCACCCGTCGAAATCTTCTCTTTTTACAAAACAGATTTTCCTTTGTTTTAATGAGTAATAAAAAGTAATTTAAAGTAAGTGATGGTTCACGAATAATTGCGCACGAACGATTGCAACTTCTTAGTTCAAGAATTAGATATTTGACGATTGAAATTGAGCCAGCCATGTTTGAGGATAAAATAACTGAGCTTTTAGGCCCGGTTGTACAAACATAGCTTAAACTCGAGATTACGTGAACTGTGAAAAACGCTGAACTCAGCGATTCTATTTAGATATAGTTCATATAAACTTTTAGTCACGTGATTAAGCTTGACCGGCACAGCGTTGTCAAAAACTCTACGGATATCAGTCTTCACCTATTCGATAAGTTATATTATAACCGAGATACCGGGAGTACGGAGAAATCGGAAGTCGAAAAATGCAACATTTTCAAATTCGCCCTGTGTTTTAGGAACTCAGAGGGCAGGGACAAATATGTGGATAACATTTTTAATTTCATAAAAATGTAGTACAGTGATGTGAAGACTGCATCTTTGTAGCTCTACTCATAAACGAGAAACCCAATAAAGTACACAAAAATGAGACACCCTGTATGTACAACCGGGCCAATTTCTTATAATCTTGCTACAAGAAAAATATACCTAAATAGAAGATGCGAGTTCAGCGGGTTTCTCAGTTTACTTGAATTGGAGTTTAAGCTATGTTTGTACCGGGTGTCCCACTAAGAGTAGCTCTCGGCTGTATCTCGGAAAGTATTCGCGGTAGGACTTACGGAAAAAAATATTTATAACTAAAGGGGCTATGAGAAATTGCTGGAAATTATTTTCAAGTTTGTAAAACGGCGGCTAGGGGGCGCAACTGATATGGAAAATAAGAAAATAGAATTTTTACAGAATTTTGCCTAGATAAGTTAACATTTTCCCCTATCTGCTAAAATAAAGCGGTGGGGGAAGGTTAGATCTATCTTTATATAAATGTTAATAACTCCGGACTGGATGATCAGAATCCAACAAACGAGGGCTCGTTTAAAAAAGCGTTTCTTACTCTATATTATACCACAAAAATAATAATAATAAGGTTTTGAACGTAGACGCTAGGAGGCGCTTTTTTACAATTTACCAAACATAGCGCGTTTTTTCAAAAAAATTAAATACGAGAGTATACGTAATTTTAGCTGATAGTAAATAGTGGTAAAAGCTTAAAAAGTCAGCGAAAACCGCATATTGATATCTCCTTTCAAACCTAAATAAAATAAGATAGAAATAGTTAGTTTAATTTAAAATCTACGAAATACCAGAATACCATAATACCAGATGTATTAATATGTAATAACTAAGATATTAATAACAGTGAACAAGAAACGATAATTCGGTGAAAGCATGGTATTTTTTGGAAAAAAGTTGCTTTTCACGTAATAGTATAAACGTCAAATTGTTATTAGATCAACATTTTGATAGTCTTAGCCGCGTTTTTTTATCTTTTAATTGCTTTTTTCAAAATACCTCCATTATTTGAAGTAGTTGAAATTATTGGCATTTTGAATAAGCAATCAAAAAATAAAAAACGCTGCTAAGACTATCAAAATGTTGATCTAATAACAATTTGACGTTTATACTATTACGTGAAAAGCAACTTTTTTCCAGAGCCTACCCTGACTTCACTGAATCATCGTTTCTCTCTTGTTCACTGTTATTAATATCTTAGTTATTGCATATTAATACATCTGGTATTTCGTCGATTTTAAAATAAACTAACTATTTCTATCTTATTTTTTGTTAGAATGGACATAATCAAGAGGGCTACTGATACCGTATTGTAAAAATAAGGTAATTAAGGGTTTATTTTTTTGTATTTATTATAATTTTGCTAATATCTTCGGTTTGAAAGAAGATATCAGGATGCAGTTTTCGCCGACTTTTTAAGCTTTTACTACTCTTTACTCTCAGTTAAAATTACATATACTATTGCATTTATTTTTTTTTAAAAAACGCCCAATGTTTGTTAAATTGTAAGACAACGCTTCCTAGCGTCTACGTTCAAAAGCTAATTATTATTGTTTATATGATACAATATAGAGTAAGAAACGCTCTTTTAAACGAACCCTCGCTTGTTGAATTCCGATCATCCAGTCCAGTATTATTAATATTTAAATAAAAACAGATCTAACCTTCCCCCACCACTTTATTTTTGTAGATAGGGGAAAATGGCTCTAACAAAAAATATTCAAAATTTACTGAAGATTATAAAGCTGTCTCTTATAGTACACCTTATCTAGACAAAATGGTGTAAAAACACCATTTTCTTATTTTTTGTTGCAGTTGCGCCCCCTAGCGGTCGTTCTACAAACTTGACAATAATTTCCAGCAATTTCTCATAGCCTCTTTAGTTATAAATATTTTTTCCGCAGCCCCTACGGCTAATACTTTCCGAGATACAGCCGAGAGCTATACTTAGTGGGACACCCTGTACAATCAGGCTTTAAACCATTCAGATAAATAAAAAATGTATTCAGCACTGCCTGTAAAATTTGGCATTAAAATTAAAATTATAGCTTACATAAGTTTTTTTTTAATAATTTTAATGTATAAATGTAGAGAGGAAAAATATATAATTTTTATAATTATATATATTTTTAAAGGGTATTCATTTTTAATTTTTAATTGACTGTTATTTGAACAATTAAGATATCATTTGGTGTTTATCTTACAATAGAAGTTACAAGAAAAATATTTTAAACATATTTTTTAATTTAGTCTACGGCTAAATACAAGTGGATAATAATATTTAATATTTTTGAGCTTTACAACATTCTTTTAATAAGGTATTTAGTTACTTATTTTAAATAATCTGCTGACCACGTATTACTATAAATACAGTGTAGGCCAC